TCACCGTGAACCTCCCGGAGACCTCCAAATCTCTCAAAGCTCCCTCGAATTCATCTTGATACGTCCCGATTTCTTCTCAAGCGCCGGTGCCGAACTTTAATTCCATTGATTTTGACTCCAAACAATACAAAACTCGAACCAACGTCTGGTAAACATAACTTGAGCTAAAATTGAGATTTGTGACACCTAAGAGTTAGGAAAAACATCAAAAACCGATCCCAACACGCATCAAATGCGTGTTGTAATACAGACATATCAGAGTCAATGGTGCAAATGTTCTAATATTCACAATTTTATTCAAATGAATCATATAAAAAAATATAAATGCAATTTGCTATTGTTATCGCCAAATATTTTTAAGTTAATTATCAAAATAGGACTAAAAGCTTCTCACTTTGCACAAATAGGACTACAAAGTAAAGAGCAAGTTCCTGAAATAGGACTAAAACAATTTGAAAATTCCAAGATAGGACTGTCATGTTTTTTGTTTCCAAAATAGGAGTAATTGCTGCCATGTTTAGAAAATACTGTTATGTTTGAAGTCTAGTACTGCCAAAACATGACAATAATTAGTCCTGTTTTGGGATTAAAAACATGGCAGTCCTATTTTGGAATTTTCAAACCTTTTTAGTCCTATTTCGCGTAATATTCTCAAAAGTAAACTATGTTTTAATAGGACCAATTATGTGTGTGTTGGACAAATATACCCTTGTTGCTATTGAAATGTTTTAATTAATAAAAAAATAATAAAAAATAATAAAAATTCGTAAAAAATACTAAAATATTAATAAAAATATTTCAATAATAAAAATTAAAAAAAAAATATTTAAACAAAACAAAAAAATAAAATAAAAAATGCAATAAAAATTATCATCGCCGCCTCCGCCGCCCCAACACCACCACCTCCAGTCACTAGCAGAAAAAAATATCACATCTATTACGAATGCCATTTATATGGCAGAATCAAGGAAAATTTTGACATTCTGAAACAGTAATATGCCATTTTTTGGCATTTTCAGGAAAAATGACAGTTTTTAGAAAAAATGACATTTTTACACTGGTCGGAGGTGGTGGTCTAGAGAGGCAGTATCTCATGGTGAGTACTAGACCCGACATTGCCTATGATGTTAGTTGTTTAAATAGGTATATGCCTAACCCCGGTTTACCCCATTGGAGTGATTTTAAGTGGTTGCTAAGGTACTTGAAATCTACTGTTAATCATGAGTTGGTTTTTACTAGGGATGTTTTTACTTGGACTGTAATTTGCTGGTCTGGTCTGGTCTGTTTTGATCTGGTCTGGTCTGGTCTGTTTTGGTCTGGTCGGGTCTGGTTTGGTCTAGTCTGGTCTGGTCTGAAATTTTATTTTTTATATTTTTTGCATAAATATTTTATTTTTTTATATATATTATAATCCATAAATATTTACTCCGTATATTTTATTCATTTACAATTACAAATAATAATAACAATAACAACAACAATAACAACAATAATAATAATAATAATAATAGTAACAACAACAACAACAACAACAACAACAATAATAATAATAATAATAATAATAATAATAATTAGGGGTGTGCACTATCTGGTTGAAACCGGAAAATTGGACCGAACCGGACCGGAACAACCGGAACCAGATCAAACCGGAATGATATCCGGTCCGGTCCGGTCCGGTCCGGTTTTGAACCGGTGCACACCCCTAATAATAATAATAATAATAATAATAATAATAATAATTAGGGGTGTGCACTATCCGGTTTAAACCGGAAACCGGACCGAACCGGACCGGAAAAGCCGGAACCGGATCAAACCGGAATGATATCCGGTCTGGTTTGGTGCGGTCCGGTCCGGTTTTGAACCGGTGCACACCCCTAATAATAATAATAATAGTAATAATAATAATAATAATAATAATAATCATAATAATAATAATAAGGGGTGTGCACTATCCGGTTTAAACCGGAAAACCGGACCGTCCTGGATCGGAAAAACCAGAACCGGATCGAACCAGAATGATATTCGGTCCAGTTTTGAACCGGTTCACACCCCTAATAATAATAATAATAATAATAATAATAATAATAATAATAATAATAATAATAATAATAATAATAATAATAATAATAATAATAATAATAATAATAATAATAATAATAATAATAATAATAATAATAATAATATGGTCTGGTCTGATCTGGCCTGATCTGGTCTGGTCTGGTCTAGTTTGGTCTGTTTTAGTCTGGTTTGGTTTGGTCTGGGACGAATTACAGTCCAAGTAAAAACAACCTAGGTGTTCTGAGAATATTAAGTTGAGTGGGTATGTGGACTCTAATTTTGCTTAGATCAGACAATAAGAAATCCACTACCTCTTATGTGTTAACTCTTTGTGGGTCGTGCGTTAGTTGGAAGTCTGAACTTCAACTTATAGTTGCCCTTTCCACTACTAGCGAAGCATTTATGGAAGCCATTTGGCTTAAGCGTCTCCTAACGAAGATTGGTAGTCTTAAACAGAACATTTGTGTGTTCTCTGATAGTGAATTTGCTATTTAACTTTGTAAAAACCATGTTTTTCATGATAGAACTAAGCATATTGATGCAGGGTCGTCTCTAGTATTTTTGATGCCCCAGACAAAGAGATTACATAATACTTAAAATTGATAATAAAATTAAATACGTATGAAGTAATTAGAAAATTATAACACCATTTTTTACTAAATGCAACAAGCAATACTTCACTTGGAGTATGTGAAAATGTAAATTCTTCTAAGAAATAAATAAAACTATAAAAGTTTTCTTTTCTTTTCTTTTCTTTTCTTAAGTTTTCTATTTGAAATCACTGACTCTTGTTTCCGTTTCACCGTCATAATAAATACTACAGTAGTACAAAATAATAGTTTAGCACTAATTATTTATATTACAAGTTAGTAAATACTACTCCTATTTGAAAAGAACAAGTTTCAAACTAAATTTGATAAACGAATAACTTCAAGAAAATTATAAAACACATACGTAGTAGGAAGTATAACACAAAGTTTTAATTTTAATACATTTAGTGAATAATAATTAATAAGTTGGATGTAGAAATGTAAAATAACTAGATCATTTACATTTGACAAAAATTGAATAACTCATTTACGAATTGGACAAGAAATCAAATAATAAAATAGGGAGTATTAAATATGGAGTACACCGAATTACCCAATGCAAATCTGAAATCTGAATGCTGGATTGGGGGATAACCTTGAATTGCGAGCAACATATTGGTGGATAACCTTGAATTACCGATCAGACCTTTGCCTTAGGATTTTTTAATTTTAAAATCCAACTGAACAAGCAGTTTCTATTTTCTATTGGGCCATCCGGTCGGCGACGCAGGATTAATTGGTTTGTTACTCCTGTAATTTGGACTCCCGCTTGGCCGCTATGTGTATATGGAAGCCGGAATGCCGGATGGTCTATCTACTAATAACATTAATATTAATATATATAATAATAATTTCTTTTATAAAATGTGCCCCCTAAAAATTGGGTGCCCTAGGCCACTGCCTAGGTGCCTGGCCCCCAAAGCCGGCTCTGTATTGATGTTAGATTTCATTTTATACGTGATATTGTTAGTGTAGGTCATATTAAGTTGATTAAAATTCCATCTGAGTTTTATCCTGCAGACATGGGGACTAAATGTCTCTCTGTCGAAAAATTGTTGTCGTGCAAATGCACGTTAAACATTGACTGCGGATAAGTTGCCTAGTGATTTTTCCTGTTTTTCCTGTAATGTGTCTCTGTGATCATTCAGCAATCCAGTAATGATGAGTCTCAAATTTGTATTAGAGTTTTGACTCTACACCACTATGGTTTAATAAGATGGAGATGTGTTAGGTATTGGTCCAACCTATTCCATAAGCCCAATTCCCCTAGAGGTACCCGGCCCATGGTTTATTCAATCCCTTGTTCGCACCGCCTCTCTTGGATGTGCGCGATTAACTTCCGCCTTCCTTCCTTGTACGAGCTCCGTGCAATCTTTGATCTATGGTAATTTTCCTTACCTACGATTTGTGTCTGGCCTATTTATTCTTCCTCTGCATTGATTGTTGGAGTACGCCGAAACCCTCCTCTTCTCCTCTGTGGGGTTGCTTGGACGAATTGGCCAGAATAAGCTTGAAGGTTGTTGCCACACCACCTCCCCTTGTGATCTTAGTGGTGAAGTAATATCCTTTATGGGTATAAATCAGAGACATGAGCTGGAAATCGTTTTCTACAGGGGTGAACATCACCCTCTCAAAGGAGGGTGAACAAAATTGATCTCGGGTGGATCTAGTATGGCGGTCCCACCCGAAACCAGTCAAACAATATTTGAGACCCAACCATATTCATTTATATCGGTTTTGGGCCTAGAACCGGCCCATTCCTCCCTAGAGCGGTTCATGGTAGGGATGGACTGGGACGGGTCAGCCCGGCCTGGCCCCGGCCCGTTAATGTATAGGCTCAGTTCCGGCCCGGTGACTATAAGGGCAGGCTTTGGGCTCGTTTTTTGGGCCCGGACCCGATTGCACTTTTTTTTTTTAATTTATTTTCCAATCTTGTCCCGGAGTCCGGTCGAATCCCGATACAAACCCGAGCCGATACCGGGCCTGAAATTTTTAGGCCCGAGCCCGCCCAGTCTCGGCCCTCAACCTGACCCAGTCGGCCGATCCCGATCCATCCCTAGTTCATGGTCCCGGTTTACAGTCTTGAGGACTGAACCAAGCAATTCCGACCCCGATTTCGGTCCTGATCCTGGTTTCTTTAGGCTTCATATTGGGCCAAAAACTAAAAAAACGGGAAAATAGGTCTGAGACCGAGACCAGACGGGTACCCGGAACCAGCCCAGACCCAGAACTTAGCGGGTCAAACCCGGGCTTTAGGAATTGTTTTGGGACCGGGTGGTCTCGGCCCGGAACCGGGACCGGACCACCCAAGTCCATCCTACTTTCAGTTATTGACTTGAAAAAATCTATATCGATACTACTTTTTTTAAGAAATTGCTTCAAATATAACTCAAATATAGACAAAGTGCACAACTATGAGTATTAAGAATACAAAGCTTGTTTTATTCTCAAAATAAGACTTGTTTGATCCTTTTAAAAATACAAAGCTTGCTCAATTATGAGCGAATTAGTATTAAGAATGAAAATGTGAGGAATAAAAAAAATCTACCCGATTTCCTCCCTCCATGAGTTGGACCTTTCACCATCTTATTCTAAGCAGCAAAGGATAGCAGTGATCCATCTCATAATTCGGCCAGGATTCATCACCATATAGGAATCTCTGGTGACGCCTCCAAATTTCAGCGTCATAATTGTTTTCTATGGTGAAATTCAATCCACTGCCTATAACTTTCCCGAGAAACTTGTCCAATGAATCACCTCTTTTCGGGCAAAAAAGTAGAGCTTCTGAGGGACTGTCTTTCTTTAGCAATGATTTTATGGTTTCAGCCAGAGCTTCATGGAATTCCTTAAAGAAAGTGCTGCAAAAAAACAGAGATTTGGTAACAGTACAGTTCCATGTTACATAGGAAAGAGCGGAAATGGCTATTAGGTCCAAGCATCTCAGATAAATAAAGACATGCAATTAGCATTTCAGAGTTCAGACTGTGCAAATAAGCTTTAGTTTGTCATATAATTACAAAGCTCAAGAGGTTTAAGCTATCAGCTCACTGAATCGTTAACAGGTAAAAATAACATGTTACAGTTTTCAAACTTAGATGCAGTATTCCTATTCATACGCCTAACCGGCAACACCTCAATGTGATTAATTAAAAATAATATAATCAACAATTTTTTTAGAATTTCTCAATGAAAACTAGTGAGGACAAAGAGCAAGTTACTCATTTCTAAAATACATCCAAGTATCCAACATAAGTCTTCATGCACTCAACAACTCCCTCAAGCAGATTGTTCAAATACAAGAAGTGGGGAAAACAGAATGAAGAATTAAATGTTAATTACCAGTCACTTGCAATAATGAAATCAAAGGTATTGGAGATATCCGGTACATTTTCCTGACCCCAATGTAGAATCATTGACTTAACCGCTGTACCGCCAAACATGCCTGAATTGGTGCTTACATTACGCTGTATATCTGAATGTTTAGAATATTCATAAATCATAAATTCTCTGCTTTAGTAGATAACAAAATGAATAGACAAAATTTCAGGGTTAGATTTTATCCAGTAAATAGGTGACACGCCGGATCTGTGTGTTCACAGTTTGTTTGGTAATCATAAACCTCATTGTTTTAACTGTTGGGCTCTTGTTTTACTCTTAAAAAGCAGGAGCTAACATTGCTCTCACAGTAATTCGGATACAAAGGATACAATCAACAACTTGAGGATTCCCATCAGTGATTGCCACTTCTAGTGCATCTGTGGCTACCGCAACAACCAAGCCAGCTATGCCATATCCTGCTCCAACTTCAATGACTCTTTTATCCCTAAAAGTGGTGACGAGTGCAAACACTGGCGGAGTAAAATTTACAATGATAAATGTTTGAAAATGTGAATCATAACATGATGTTCAGCGGTTTAAGAACCTGAACATGTCAGCATGTAACAAGCAGTAGTAGGCAAGGACATCCTCAGACGGCCATTGACCTATCCAACAATAGGTAAATATATCATCAATATGACCACTCTTTGGTACTAGTATCCCATACACTTGTTTTTTAAAGAAAAAAGATATGAAACATTGAAACTGGTACCTAAAAAACAAAAAAAATTGAAATTGCATGACATGAACACTTGTGTTTCATCTATGCACTAGAGTTGAGAGTCAACCCTGTCCAAGTCTTTAGTTTATTAATCTGAAGTGACCATGAGAAGTGAGGTTGCTGTTCCTAAGAAACTCAATATAGATCCCCCCCCCTCCTTGCAAGCTCTCTAAATAAAGAAAAGTTCCTTGGCAGACTTACCACAAAATTCCAAATAAAAAATAAACCTATTTGGTGCGTCTTTGGATAAAAATACGTGGCTGCCAAAGGCTTCATTACTTCTGTACATACAGTGAATCTTTGTATCACTTCTCTGATTGTGAATTGAATGGTACGGTTCAGAAGCATATTAGTAGTACACTTCATAATTCATTTTTAGAAAAAAATATGAAAAATTAGTTTCAGATGATCAATCTGGACTCTCTTTTTGAAAAATAATACGTAGTATATTGTTTTGAATCTCTTTTGGTGCTGAGAGAGGACTTGATCCCTATTTTGGTAAAGTGATGGTTTATGTGAGACAGCACGGCTCCACTTGGCACTCTTCCACTTTAAAGCAACACTCAACTGCATTGCTTTTGTCCAGAACTGGAAAATCTATTACTGAATATAATTAGCTGTTCCATGTATCAGAGAATAGCAAGTCCTAATGTCCCAAAACGTTTCTTACTTTACTTTTTATTTATTGTTCAATAAAGTGACATGTCAAAGAAGAATACTATTCATGAAGTAAAATTAAAATGTTTGCATTTGTCAGAGAAATTATTGATTTTCGGGTTATAAAAGTAACACACTTACAAACAAGCCCGGTGTTGTCAATATTACATCTATTACAAACCTCAAAGTCACTGAGATCCACAATACCATTCACTCTCTGGCTGCATCGCGAATCCAAAAGTCAGAAACTAGCATTGCTAAACAAGAACTACTGAACATATACGGAAAAAACAGATCCACACCTTCAATTCAATTTCGAACACTAAAAAATGATGCTTTTTATGCAAGTCATAAGCAGAAACAGTAAAGTATATAATCATTCGTCAAAGTTTGTACATTTTCAAACACAAAGAGGGCATAGATGTTTGGAAATACCCCCACATCTCACGTCAGATTTATGAGGGAGCTCATTTCCAAAAATAGATAAACAGAGTGGTTCTCAAGTGCCCATTTATGGCTAATGAACTTATAGTTTGAATATTTGAGGCTTCCAATTCATATTAGAATGAATTGAATAAAGGGAAAGCATACAACCTCTTTAAGAATACAAAAGAGACAAAGTACAAGTAACACCGAGTCCTTTGTAACTTTTTAGTGTTCCTTTACTAGTACAATGCACTCCAAAGTCCAAAATCCCTCCATGCCAAAAGGAAAATAAAATGTTTTTAATACTCCGTACTATTTTTAGAATTACAAACATGGCTCATTTCAATTTACAGAACTAGTACTCTAATTTATCAAATCATAAACAGACCTTGAAGAAGAAGTCCGAACTCCCAAGTTAAAATACGTACAAGTGAAAATTGGACAATAGAGAACCAATATAACAAAGATGTGAACATGAAGCCTAACAAGGCAATAAGCCAATAGCTATGAACAACGACTCAAACGTCAGAATTTGACTTGCAGACTTACTGCAGAGTAAGTTGGGGAGATTTGGGAAGGGGCAATGTGTAACAGAGAAGAGCAGAGCTGCGCAATGCGTCTTTTCGTAAGAGAGAATCAGAAATTTCTTGTGAACAATTTTCCACTAAACTGCAGGGTATCAAATTGAAACCACGAGTCGCCTTTCTTGATATTTGTTCAATGGCCATGTCGGATTGGTTATCTGTGAAGAACTCTGTTACGCACAGCACATATTATGGATGATACGCGAGATAGGGTACATACAAGTCTGTCTATATGATTGAATGAACCTGGGCCGGATGCAGGACGACGAAGAAGCGCGCGGCGAAGGATTTGCCAGCGGAGTGTTGAGGACTTCGTGCTAGAATTGCTGCTAGTCCCATCCATGGATTCCCCCGCTCCCGGCGCTCCGATTGCTTCACCACTGTCTCCAGTTTGAGACCAGGGGAAAGATCAAAGACGTGTGCATTTTGCATCGATATATTAACTTGGGTGGTTTACCGAAACACTGGAAAACTTGGATGGGTTTACTAAAATAAGGGTTTTTTTAGGGTTTACCAAAAAAGAGGGGAGTCGGAACACCCGGTTCCGACTAGGGATAGGGTTTTGACACTATCTTAAGTTTTTGATTTTCAAAGTTTTATATATATATTTTTTGCCAATTCTTAAGTTTTTGATTTTCAAAGTTTTTAAAACTAAAGTTTAAAAAAAAAAACAAAACTCCTGTCGAATGTAGGAGTTCCGATTGAAGGAGTGTTTGTGGATTAAGTTTTAAACCTTTTTAAAATTCCCTAAATTAAGTTGCTACTAAAGTGGAATTAATTGTAAAGTTTTAAAATTAAATTTTTTAAAATTCCCTCCTGTCGGATATGCCACTTCCGACTAGGGGGTCGGCAGAATAGTAAAACTTATTCGTGTTTTAAATTAAAGTTTTTAATTCTTCCAACTAAAGTTTTAAACTAAATTGGCCAATTTGATTTCTGTTTTAATTTTTAAAATGGCCTAATTCCTTTTTTTTTAAATTAGTGGCGGAATTGTAAAATGTTTTGATTTTCAAAGTAGTGCAGTTTAGACTATAGAAATTACCCAATATAGGAGTAAACATAAACATCATTGCACAAATTGGAGTAAAACTTAAAATTTCCTTCAATAGGAATAAACATTAATTTTGTACCCTTAATATACGTAACCTAGTTAATTCTAAAATATGACTTATTTAATCTTAACCTAGATAATTTATGACTTATTCGATAATAATAATTTATTTATTTATTTATTTTTGAAAAAATAAAAAAATATAAATTTTTTTTAAAAAAAAAAACTCAAAAAAAAAAAATTCACCGCCGCCTCTGCCGCCTCTGCACCATCACCTCCAGTCACCAGGGGAAAAAATGCCAAATTCATTATGAATGCCATTTTTATGGTAGAAAATAATGAAAATGTTGGCATTGGCAAAGAGAAATATGCCATGTTTTTGGCATTTTCAGAAAAAAATGGCAGTTTTTAGGAAAAATGGATTTTTTTTTCACCACCCGGAGGTGGTGGTGCAGGAAGGTTGTACAGGCGGTGGGAAAGACATCCATATATTTTTTAATTTTTTTATGGAGTTTTACTATTTTTTATTAATTTTTTAAAAAACTAAAAATTTAAAAAAGTATATTTTTTAAATTTTTTATTTTATTAATATTTTATATTTTTTTAATTATTTTTCTACGAATTTTTGATTTGTTTCGAATTTATTATGAATTAAACATTTAATTAGTCGGGAGTAGTTTTAATTAGGATTTGGGAATGATAAAGGGGTTAATCACGATGTATGGCTAAATTCGTGATGGTATTACTACTACTACTACTGCTACTACTACTACTACTCCTCCTCCTCCTCCTACTACTACTAGTGTTACTCATACTACTACTCCTACTACTAGTGCTACTGGGTCGAATAGGAGTTTTTATGCCCCGGGTCTAAAAAACGTTAATCACAAGGGTGAATATTAAAATTACATCTATATGTTAAGTAAATCATTGTCAATTTTACAACTCGTATTCATGATATAGGATGATTACATTACAAATGATTGTATCCCTACTGGATCGAATAGAGGATTTTATGATCCGGGTCTAAAAAATGTGAATCACAAGTATGAATATTAAAATTTCATCTATATATTAAGTAACTCGTGGTCTATTTCACAATCATGTTCATGATATATGCTAATTGCATTTCATAATATTGTATCCTTACTAGGTCGAATTGGGGTTTTAATGATCCGGTTCTACAAAATGTGAATCATAAGTGTTAATATTAAATTGTCATCTCTATATTAAGGAACTCATGGTCAATTTCACAACTCGTGTTCATGATATAGGCTGATTGCATAAAATTTGAATGATTGTGTCCTTATTGGGTAAAATTGGAGGTTTTATAATCTGGCACATGAAGTATTGAATTTTGGGTCACTTTATTTTTGTACAGATATGGTTGGATAGAATATTGAATTGTGATTGAATTATATATGATAAAATTTTATCTCATTCATTTTATCTGATGAACTTATCTAATTAAATTTTATCTGATTATCAATTTTATCTAATAAATACTTCTAACGTTATGGTTTACATAAAGGGGTATTTTGAGTTTGCACCCCACTTTATTGTCGAAATTAGGCTTGGCACCCCATTTTTGAAATCTTTAGTATTTGCACCCCAACCCTGTATGAAAAGACTAAAATACCCCTCACTTAACAATTTTGTTGGCCTTCAACATATTTCTGATCGAGGGGCATTTTTGTCTTTTCATACGGGGTTGGGGTGCAAATACTAAAGATTTCAAAAACGGGATGCAAAGTCTAATTTCGACAATAAAGTGGGGTGCAAACTCAAATTACCCCTTACATAAAACAAAATTTATCTCGAATATAAAATTTCTTAAAATAAAAATTTAATTTATAAAATTTAATTTATCAAATTTCTTAAAATAAAACAAAATATATGTATTTTCAAATATAGAATTTTTAAACAACATCCCTAGTCGGATGTGGGCTATCCGACAGGTTTTTTTTTGTTTTTATTTATTTTTTTATTTTTTATTTCTTCTGATTACACAATATTGAACATCAAAAAAATTTCAAACACCCTGGTCGGATTACACAGTTCCGACTAGGTTTTATTTATATTTTATTTTTTTAATTCATTGGGATTAAAGAAATAATGGAAACAAAAAAATTCAAACCCCTAGTCGGATTCCACAATTCCGACTAGGTATTTATTTATTTTTGTCGGTACTCTACACCCTAATTCGGAAGCCCTCCCTAGTCGGATTTGCCAAATCCAACTCCCGTGATTTGGTAACCTAATTGCAAGTCCCGCAATTTGGATTGTCAGACGGGAAAACCCCGTATTTTGTTAATTTCCTCTATTAACTTCAACATGTCACAATACTTGCACATTAGGTAGGCAGTAATAAAAATATCTTACTCCATCCCCAAAAAACTTTGGCCAAATTTTACTTACATGTATAATACTCCCTAGTAAAGTAAAAATTTCTCTCTCCCACAAAACTTGGTCAATTTGATCTTTCTTAGTCAATGATAAAAAAATTTGAACAACGGTTTTAGTTATTATATTTGTGTTAAAATCATAACTTTTATATTTTTATGTATATATTTTTAACAAAGAACATTTTCATATAATATTCATTTTTGAAATAATTTCATATTAAAAAATATCATTAGTCAAAGTTCACTATCATTTGCCAAGAAAAGTCAAAATAGCCAAGTTTTATGGGGCGGAAGAAGTATTTGATTGAGATTTATACGAGCGAGATATATTACTTTAGGGGTGTGTATTATATCTAGATTGTTGTGGATATTTTTTTCGTGGATTTCCAGAAAAGTTCATTGACTTTTAAATCCATAGATTTTTAATCCATTGACTTTTTAATCTATAGACTTTCAAATCTATAGACTTTTAAAACGAATGATGATTTCTGATGGAGTATATTCCCATATACCCCAAGGGTATCAGAATCCCCGACATAAACATCACAGATCTATCCCGGAGTGCATAAAAATAATAAGTCCACAACTAGGAACCGACCCTGACCGCGACCTTCCAAGGTCGGGACAAAGCGCCAGGCAACGGAATAGCTAAGGACAGAAAGTCAGCCGAACCCGACCTCGACCCCCGAGGTCGGGAAAACATCAAACTCAGGAATCGCCCGAACTCGACCAGTTACTAGCCCGACCTTGAAAGCACCGAGCTCGACATCGACTCCGACCTCAGGCGTCAACACAGAGTCAACCAGAACTAAGTAAAGGAGTCAATGACCTCGAAGACGGAACTAAAGGCAGAAGACACATTCCCAGTGGTGAGCCCGAGTCTCCAGATACTGACCTCAGAGAGCCCAGGGTCTGACCAAGGCCTTATGGACTTGGAAAAAATACGCAAAGACAGACATTATTACATTACAGAACGATGCCGCCACATCACTCATGGCAGCGGGCGATATTTTGGATTAGACACGTGTAGCCACACGGACATTCGAGTAGCAGTTTGTTGGAGCGGTTCCAATCAGCCAGTTGTCCCAGACTATCTCTCCAATCACCTTTACACGCGGCTGCTCTCCATCAAAGTAGACTATTAGTTTGTTAGAACAGATTGAACACACGTCCTTCCCCTATTAGCTCAACATCTTTTTGCTTGGGCAACAAGCATTGCCTTTTCTATAAATATCACCTTCCAACATGTGGAAATGGATCACATTTTGTACTTTCTTGCTGTAACTCTGCTAAAATATCTACATGTACTTCCCGATCAGCTCTTCTCTTATCCTATTACGATGATAAACATGGCGCATCCTTCTTTAGAGACACTGGTTGAGTCTTTTTCGTTTTGGTGGATGAGGATGGGGATGGTATGACTCCGCTCTCTCTCAATCGGAAACCTCTGGAACCCTAATCCTCTTTGGAAGCATCCAACGATCTCTTGGCAACATTATGTTCTGATCAAATATTCCCTGGGCCTCCTTGGCCAACCAAGGCCCACTCTTATGGCTTTTTGCTGTTTTTTCACACATCTTACCTGACTCTTTAGCTTTTCATTGCGATGTAATTTTCCTTTTCTACATTTTGTAATCCCACCTGATATTATAATAAAGTTGTTCCTTCAAAAAAAACTTGGATTCCGGCTACCCCCAGTTCGGTAATCCATCAATTTTGGTGCTCTCGTTGAGAGCTGAACCGTGAATCAGGTCAGATCCTCCCACTTTTTCTAGATCTACAGCAAGCTTTCTTCTTGACGATGGCTGGAAAGAGAATTGCAAAGAATAGACGTGCTGCTGTCGCTGTCGCCCAAGCTGAGCCCTCACTGGAAGCTACTGCTACTTCCGGCGCTAGGAGGGCCGCTAAGGGGAAACAAGCCGCTCAGACTTCTACTGATCTGCGTAGCCTGATCCAACGAACTTCCCTAGATCTCCGCCAACAAATCACTCTGAATCGAAATGCAGCGGCAATGTCG